TTTGAACGAAACAAGTCAAATAATCTCAAAGCCTTGTCTAAGTGATAAGAATCTTGAGGGTAGAGTAACGCCACAAGAGATGTAATTAAAATGTGTCCGTACTATTCAGCAGTGATTATATATAATAGCTTGCAAATCATATAAGAAATGTAACTACACCTTACAATTACTTCTCGTGTAAACTCCGTTTATATATACTCCGTAATAGCTTACAAATCATATCAGAGAAGTAAATCGCATTAAAAAAAATCATATGTCACGAGTTTAATTAATCAAAAAAGTATTAATAAGAAAATCAAATTTGTAATCTTTTTATATAAGAATCATAATTTACTTACACCGACCAATCGAATTCTGAACACTACTTGTAAGTTAGCTGACGATAATTTAGGCAGCCAATTAAGGCCTATGGCATTACAATCAACGACCATCATATAGCTCCGATCCTAAGGGGTTTGGAGCCAATTATGTGCAACATTCTTCCCACTTCCACTCCACCATCATATCTCAGCCGGTCACCGTCACAAACTAATCAATGCCGATGATGCAGCAACCACTGTAGCCGGTGAAATTTAGAGTTTTTAGTTTTTTGGGTTACACCACGAGGTGTCTTGAATAGATCCTAACTGTAAGACACACTTTTAAGTTCGTACCATACTTAGACGGTAAATTATATCGTGCACCGCGCTTTTAAATGACGTCGTTTTGTTTAATGAAAAGAAACGACACTTGTTTCGCGCCGTTCCGTAAAAAGTAACTCTGTTATTCAGTTTCATTTTGTATACACTGCAGTTTCAGTTCAACACAACTTCAGTTTCATTTCGATATAACTACAGTTTCATTTCAATATAACTACAGTTTCATTCGATATTTATACACTCAAATATGTAAAAATGTTCTTTAATTTTATTTTAAATACACTATAGTTTCATTAAAACACAACTACATTATCATTTCGATATAACTAATAGTTTCATTGCACAATATACACTCAAATATGTGAAATGTTATTCAGTTTCATTTTATATACACTACAATTTCATTTCAACACAACTATAGTATCATTTTGATATAACTACAGTTTCACCCATAGGCAGTGTCAGTCTATCGTTCGCACAAGGACGCCCCAATTAAGGGATAAAGATGAGATTCGAACTCTCAACCTCTCTTAAGGGATAAGAGTGCACGGCTACTCACGCCAACAAAACTGATTTTTAGAGTTGAAAATGATTTTTCTAGTTATTTACTAATCACTTTGGGAATGTGAAGAATTTTAATTTTCATTGCTATTATTAATTGCTCACGGATTAAAAGTAGTTGAAAATTCATATCACTTTTTTTGGCAATCGAAAAAATTGATCTTTTAAATTTAATTAAATTCTTTGATTTACAAAAAAAAATCTGCAACTATTATTCGAATATGTTATCCGGGTGAAATCAACCTTGTAACTCAATTAAATGAGTTATCATGGAAGAATGTTAGGTTTATGCAATTTTTTAAACATAGAAAAATCAAATGTGTGTTCAAGTGAGTGTTATTATTTATTTAATAAATGAAAATTAATATTTCATTTGTCAATTTAAAAAAAAAAAAAGAATTTAAGTAGTTTTTTCCTTTGAAAAATAAAGTGGAAAGTTTCTTGAATTGAAATTGCTGTATGTATTAACCAATCGATTCTTGAAAGGCTTGTAAATTAAGGTGATGAATGATATGATGATGATAGTTTAGCCCAATAAAGGTCTATGGCATTACTATCAACGAGCATCACGCTAGTCACCGTCGTAAACTAATCAACGCCGGGGATGCAGCAGAAGGTGGACTTCTTAACCTCGGATTACGTCGCCGATCAACGACGACCGCCCGCCGGTCAGTTTGGTCCATCTTTGGAAGCTCTCCATGCATGTCAATTGAGAGTTAACCTCAGCTCACGGTGGAAAAAACTAGCTTTCTCTTTTCGATAATAGTCATTTATTCATGAATAGTTAAGAATATCTCCAATTGTTTGGTTTTTGCACAACATTTTAAGAAGCCCATAGGAGAGAAAAGATAGGATGGGAGGGAAAAAGGAAAAAAAATAAAAAACAAAACAAAACAAAATCTGGAGAAAAAAAAAATAGTCGCATTAACAAGCTCAGCGGGCGCGTGCCGGCAAATTATACCGTGCACCAGGGCACATCTTTTCGCGTGTCTACTGTTAACTCCTTAAAAAAGAATTTCATGTTTCGAATGTACAGAATTATATAATAGAATACACAGAATTTTATACCTGAAAATACAAAATTTTATAACTGAAAATTTTCCATGTTTCGAACGTACAAAATTTTATAATAAGAATGCACAAAATTTTATACCTGAAAATACAGAATTTTATACCTGAAAACACATAATTTTATAACTGAAAATTCCCATGTTCAGAATGTACAGAATTATATAATAGAATGCACATAATTTTATACCTGAAAATACAGAACTTACCAAAACGACGTCGTTTTGGGAGGCGCGGGGCGTACATTGCTATGTGCGCCCTGGTGCACGGTATAACGATTGGCGCGTGCCATGACTGGGCGCTCCTGGTGCGCCTCACACACACCAAGTGAAAATTTTATGCTTGTTTCTTTCTCTTGTTTGAGGCAAGCTGTTAATCTTGAATATTGTAGTCCCGTCGAGATTTCTTTGAAACTACAACTGCCCTTGCCAAAAGAAACTCAAGGGCCTCCTCTGAGAGTGAGACATTGTATTGTGTCTATGTGAATCTCGTTCAATCCATAAACTATGCAATCCCATCTCCAATTGAGACCACTCGACCGATCTCATCCACTTGAAAATTCGTGTAAAAGTTTTATTTGAATTCTTTAAAAATTTGAATGTCACTTTTTTATTGACGAGCGGCTTCGCATTCTTCATAGCGGCAAGAGGCGGTCTGACTGATGTGGTATTTTGCCGGAAAACCGGGGTCCCACCTCACCACTCCCCTTCCCCTCGCCGGCCCTAAGCAGGATCCAAAGACGTTTAAGTCCAGTTCCAATCTGGATATCTTCGAAAATAAATTGACCCTAGCCGTTCCGATAGAGAAAAATGTGGAAGCTGCTTTACTGAGCTACTGAGGAACGGACTTAAGGAAGCAGACTCTCGTTCTTTGGACCAACCTATGACCGAAAAAAAAGGAGTTCGTCACTCTTTCTTCTTCGTCAATATTGCCACCACTATAAAAATCATTATTAGAATTATTCTATTTTTAAGTGGGGCCCAAATATGAGATAAAAAATTGATTTTCCTGCAACACTCTCAAATTTTTCTCTCCTTCTCTCACTTCCACCTAAGGTATATGGCCTAAAAAATCGTGCAAAAATCATGCAAAAAATACTGATGGAGATGCTCTAATGAAAAAGATGTGAAGTCATGTCAACATGTTCAATAAACATATTCTATATTCATAAATAAATTAGGATATAGGACAGTTCAACTGATTGAAAAATCTATACTTTAATAAGGTCTAGTATGTAGAACAAGCCTAAGGAGCTAACCCAAAGAGCTACTCGGTCGAGTTCTTTTTTTTTTTTTTTTTTTTTTTTTGCTACTTTACTTTTGATTAATTTAAAATCAAGTTATAGTCCCATTTTATTTAGAGAGTTGTTTTGATGCTCCATTGTTCCATTTGATATGTCCAAAATTGATACTTGTTTAAAAAAAAATCAAGTCTTTTTCACTTGCATCATAAGTCATTGATGCAAAATTGATCTACATAACCATTCACTTGAAATGAAATATCCAAGATCAAACACGTTTCAAACTAATACTAAAAGCCCATTTTTGTACTTACCATAAAATGAGTAGATGTAGATTAGTTTTGGCAAATTATGCCCACGGGTCCAAAACGACGTCGTTTTAAAAAAAAAAAAAAAACGCGTCATTTAGTTTTTTAAAAAAAATCGCGCGTGTTTTGCCATTAACGGCGTTAACGGCGTTATTTTTTTTGGATTATGAATGTACAGTTATGCCATTATGAATGTACAGTTATGCAATTATGAAATTATGAACACAGAGCTCTAACATTATGAACTTACAATTATGAACGTGATAAAATTATGACCATGGAGCTTTAAAATTGTGAATATAGAGCTTCAAAGATTATGAATGTACAGTTATGGAGTTATGAATCTACAGTTATGGAATTATGAATGTACAGTTATTAATCGAATTATGAACAAAGAGCTCTGACATTATGAACATATAATGATAAAATTATGAACATAGAGCTCTAAAATTGTGAACATAGAGCTTCGAAAATTATGAATGTACAATTATGGAGTTATGAATGTACAGTTATGGAGTTATGAATGTACAGTTATAGAGTTATGAATGTACAATTATGGAGTTATGAATGTACAGTTATTAACATATAGTAATAAAGTTATGAACATATACTCCTATAACGAAGCGGTCTGAAATTTAAAAAAAAAAAAAAAAAAAAAAAAAAAAAAAAAAAAAAAGATATAACAGTGGCTAACGGCACTATTACCCGTGTCCAGCATGCATGCTGGACACGGGTCCATAGCATAACGATTGATTAGTTTTGGGTAGAATAAAGCCTAGAAGGGTCAGGTCTGAATATTACAAAAAAAAAAAAAAAACAAAAAAAAAAAAAAAAAAACAAAACAAAACAAAAAAAAAAAACAACAAAACAACAAAACAACAAAACAAAAAAAATAACAAAAAACAAAACAAAACAAAACAAAAAAAAAAAAACAAAACAAAACAAAACAAAAAAAAAAAAAACAAAAACAAAAACAAAAATTTATTAATCAAACAATATGTATCATCTTTCGGAGAATCTTTAGATGTGGTTCAATCGAGACTCAACTAGATATTACCCAAGATGCAGATCAAAGCAGTCTGTAAAAGAGGCAAAATGACAAAGATGTAGCTTCAAGAAAATAACAAGACTTGAAGAATAACAAGACTAAATATATCAAATGTTCATGATACCACATTTTCACTGTTTCACTTCCAGCTAAAAGCATATATATAAACAGAAACTGATATACATAGTACAGATTGCAAAAGTGTAAAATTTAGCAGATGGAACAAAAAAAAAATTGTATACCTTTTTGTTTACAACTAAATAGTGTTATGATAAAAATTCAACCAATAATACATATGTGGAAAAGTGGGTAATTCTTGTTACTCACATGATAACTCTTACACAACAACAGCCTCCTTTATGCTGTGCTTGTGCGACACTGCAACTCGCCAACTTCACCATAGCGCAAATAGTTGCAAACGAATTCGGTTTGTATAGTAGTTGCTTCAAACACGCAAAACTTCAAGCCTGAAGATCTTTCCCGGAAGGAAGTTTAGGCGCAGCAATATCGCTTATAACACCGGTGCCATTTTCTAATTGTACTAGCGGCAATTGGTCTTCCTTTTGCTGTAGCAATTGCAGGGAGAGAAGTTAGGAGAGGTCGTGATTTGTATGTGGTAAAGAGGAGTAGTGTTAGATTCGCACCTGGAGTTGCAGAGATGCTTCCGTAGCTTTTCTTTGACTCTCACGAGTGCAGTAATACGAGTATAGAACCATCCCCATTAACGCAACCATGATGCCCGTAATATTTCTCCAGCTAAATGGGTCGCGTAGTAAGATATAACCGAAAGCTAGTACTAGACAGGTTTTAAGATGGCCGAGAACCTGGTAGGTGACGGGGGATGTCTTTCCAATCACGAGGAATGTGCTAAAATTAACGGAGACGGATATCAAGCAGGACAAAACAATAAAAACCTGCAATTATGAGAATAAATTAGGAGTTGAACATAATTAAAACAAGAGCTTGTTCTAGAATTCAAGAGAACATAGAAGCAATAAGTACCAGAACTTGCGGTGTGTACTTGAAGGCGAAAACGTTTTGTTTAGTCAGAAGCTTATCCAGAAACGGACCAGAGAAGAATAGAGTCATTGCCTGGTAAGGACAAGATTGATACAACAACTGTGTCGAAGAAACCTTAAACTTCTTTTGAATGGTATTTGTCATCTGAAAGAAGTTAAGTACGAACTTAACAAGAAACGATGACAGGACACGTGGTAACATGTCCTCTGGACATTAGCTCTTAAGATGATCATTGAACCTCAGGTTTATGATATCAAATCGCAATTATTATAGACCGACAGTTTTAAGGAATTGGGCTTCTGGACTTACTCCCAGTTCCAAAGAGTGAGCATTTTCACTGTATTCAGATTTGAGAGTTGAAGTTAAAGGTATAAGAAACCACATTAAAGGATACAATTTGAGCAACACAGGTTGTAAGCACGGCCAGCAGTGACAGGACAGAGCCCAGCATATTTAGCTGCAGATCAGTTACAGTCGCAATCCCGACGCCAAGAAGAAGAATGAACAAAGAAAGCTGAATGCTCCTACTGTAGTAATAATGAGGAAATATCAAGTTCAATTCATGTACGCACACGAGCAATAATTCAATTATATGTCATAATAAAAGAAATTATTTTCTAATTGTAGTATAGTACTAAAGCAGAACAGAGGGACAAAAGAAACATATGTTCAAATTTCCTAGAAGCATGGTTGCAAGCTCGAGCTGGTGGTAGATTAAAGATTCCAAACTGCTATATAAGATAAAATGTACTCACAGCTTAATGCAAAAGATCTTAATACTGATTAAGCACTGGGAATTAGGGTTTTTAAATCCAATCGGGGAACAGAACCGTGAAGCTTAGAATGATCTACAAATTAAATTATTCAGCAAGTCATGTAGCTTCAATAAATAATCCAACAGAAAGAATGTGTTGAAATCTTAGAGCTTTCATCAGAAAAGGCACATTATGAATAGAGTACATAATGCTAGCTTCAAAATAGCCTTTTTTTAAAAAAAAAAAATAAAGGAATATTGAAAACGAAGCAAACAGAGAATCCAGTAACCTGCTTAAAATATTAAAAAGACTGACCTGAATTTTTTGCTAAGGAAAAGTGTCTCAAGTATTACTGTGCAAGGGATAATGGCAAGCTTTGTCATCTAAAACATGTTGTAACGTTGAATTAAGAAACAGAATGGACCTATGAAACTTAACTGAAGAAGAAGACACGGAGAAATAGAGAAGAAGCTATACCTGATAGAAACCTACTGAATTGAAACCGAGGCTAAGGTTCAGTAATCCAATCGAGATCCCATTGAGAATGCCAAATCCAATCACAGTTCTTGGATCGAAAGGTTTGTGCTCAAATAGTTTCATCAATAACGCTACATGGAGGGAACAAAAAGTAACTAGCAGATGCCAGCTTGTCAGAGTTGTCGCTGCATACAGAAAAATTAGAACAAGCATTAACGTTTTCTTCACCTTTAAAACACGCTTCAAATAAAACCATTAACCACCATTAAAGCATCCTCCTTGAGCACCTAAGCAATAACCAATTCCTATACTATTCATTATGTGATTCTGGAAAAAAACTCAAAGGTAGCAACTTCAATTTTACTACTGTACAACTCTTCCAACTATAGTTGCCAACCAGAAAAATGACTCGAAAACAATGAAACATTAAGATCTAAGCGGGATCCGGGATACTGCAGTCTTGGTTAAGATCCTAAAGATGAAGTCTATCTTCATCTATTTGTTAGTTCCAAACCAAAATTTCTCAATGTAAAAAACAGCACAATCTGAGCAGAAAAAGAAGAGTAATTCTGAACTTCAACTCACCGAATTTGAAACCTAGAGTACTCATAAGCGCCTTATTGCAAATGACGATCGATACAGATGAAACAACAGACAGAGACAAAGCTCCAATGGTGCCAAGCTGAAACTGCTTCCCCTCACTCATCTTTTCCCCTTCACCTTCTCAATCTAGATCGAAACAGCACTGTAAGCAAAGGAATCTCAGAGTCCTAAGTTGAAACGCGAAAATTCAATCCACACCAGAAAGTAGACAGACAAGATCAGCAGAAATTCAATTGCAACGACCAAATTCAAGCTTCAAGAACTCATATAGATCCGACGATTGTGCAGAGAGTTTCTGTATCTATGTATGTGAAGTCGTAGCTCTCCAACTTCAGGAACTTGGATTAATTAATGTGAACGTTTTGATTATTTTAGGGCAAAAAAGATGAGCAGTCACTTTAGTTTATTGGCCAGTTCAACTACAGTCTGGTGCAAGCGTGTAAATGCATCAAAGATTCAAAGCTGTTTGCACATCTCCATTCCATTATTCCATATAATATCATAAATTCATAAATTCATAATAACAATTAACAAATATGAATATACAGACTTACAGTCAAAATCTGTGGGAGAGAGGGAACTGACGGAGACCTGATTTGGGTATCTTCTTCACCGTTTATCTGTTAAGACGCGCAAAGAGTTTTTTTTTTTTTTTAAATAATTGAAAACTCGGGGAGAGTGAAGCGCACTGCCCTAAATGCGCGTGAACATTTCTCTCGCCATTGTCGTCGCGACCCTCCTGCACCGACGTCGTTTCTAGCATCGGCGTATCCAATTTGTTCGTTGAAGATTCCAAGTCAAAAGAGTCTTCGGAGAAACTTTAACTAGAAAAGTAGAAGCGTTCCATAATCGCACTCGACTATAGATCGATTTTCAGGTCTGGATTTTTTCTTTTAATGATTTTCCTGGGAAAGTTTATGTGGATTTTGATGGATTACTCTGTGCAGCGAATTTTGATGGAGAATTCCGACGATCTATGTAGCATGGAGGGCGACGGAGACGGCAGAAGAAACAGCAACAATGCTTCCCGTGCTCCGTCGACGTCGACTTCTCCGGCGTCGAGCTCTCCGTACAAATTGTTCCGCCGGCAATCCTCGTTCCACCAGATGATGGGAGGTGGTAAAGGTACTCTTGCTTCTTTTTAAATCATAAAAGACATTTATTGATTTTTTTCATTCATATATATAAATGTTTGAGGCAATTTATGTTCAATATATAACTCTTCAGTCTTCACTGTCTTGTGATCATTGAAATTTAAAGCATGAAATCGCAGCTATGCAACTTAGAGAACACAATGCATTTGCAGGCTTATCTCAGTGAAAGAGTTAGAATGTACTTTACCAAAATCCATTCATGTAATTAACCTAGCATTTTTGGATAGTTGGTAACCGGGCTGCTAATACAACCGAATTATAAGGTCCTAGTGAAGTTGAAGTCGATAGAGAGTGTGATCGATCATCGATGTTACAGTTGAAAGAGTCGGTTTGTATATGTCCTAGAGATCATTTTCGGTGGGTGACGAGGAAACCTGCAGCCACTCTACCCGAGGGTGTGTACTAGGTAAACTCCGCCTTGTGACCCTAACCGACAAAGGACCAAGGAGGTAAACCAGCCTAGGTTGCCCATAGCTGACCAGTTCAAACCAAGAAAGCTAGGATTTGAACTCGTGACCTTGTGGTTACAAGTCTATATCCTTAGCCATCTTGGCTGGGCCCCCGTCCTAGAGATCATTTTGTTTCCATATATGATTGTTGCTGTATATTTCTTCTCACATTTGTTAGAAGTGAATAAAGTAGGGATATGAAGGGCAAGGCATATGAAAAGCCAAAGGATGTGAAGGGCCATGGATAGTAAAGTAGGGATGTGAAGGGTCTTCTACATTGTGTTTAACATGTATATATATATGGCAGTGTGTAGTTAAGGGAGAAGTAAGAAATATATAGAGAGTTCTATTATTTAACAACGTTTTCGACAATCTTGTAGACTGACTCATTATTTCACGTTGATTTAAGCTGCTGATGTAATATTGTGGAGGTGGAGACGTGGTTCGTTTGGTATAATTGTCATAGCTACTGTTGCGTGGCTCTTGTTTGAGCACTCGGGGTTGCCTTTCTTATCAGTTTGTTCCGACATCTTGCTGGTTTTAACCGTCCTACTTTTTCTTCGTGCCAACTATGCTGCCTACAAAAATAAGTATGGCCGGTCTATCCTATACAAAAACCCGTGATTTGTGTTATGAATATATGCGTTTTTCCAATGTTTACATTCGATATCGAATGAAATTTCTGTTTTGTTTTCTGCAGACAACCTCAGACATTGCCTCAGCTAGTCTTGTCGGAAGAAATGGTCAACAATGCAGCTGCATCGTTTCGTGTCAAAATCAATTATATGTTGCTAATGGCTCACGATATCACTCTCGGGAAAGATTTGAAACTTGTTTTCAAGGCGAGTTGCTAATGAATGTATTAAACCCTTAATACCCCCACTTTTCTTGAATATGATACCTATTCGGTTACCTTTTATGAGGCGCATTTACAGATGATGTCCATGTCAAGAAATTTCTTGAATATGTCCATGTTATGTATTTGCTAAATTTTGTCAAAAATGCAGGTTGTGATTGTTCTGTGGCTTCTGTCTACCATTGGCAGCATGGTCTCTATTTTCACACTCACCTATATAGGTATGCACTGTTTTCTGTTCCAAAAACCAATTTTCACTTTTCGTGCGCAGCATCCTACCTCGAGGGACAATCGTTATGCTGTGGAACCATGTCCACCTTGCTATGTTCATAATTATTGAACTATATGTTCATAATTATTGAACTATATGTTCATAATTATAAAGCTATATATTCATAATTTTTTATCTTCATATTCATAATTATTGAACTCTATATTCACAATTACAGAATTCTATGTTCATAATTATAAAGCTATATATTCATAATTTTAAACTTCATATTCACAATTATTGAATCTCTATATTCATAATTACAAAACTATATGTTCATGTTCATAATTATAGAACTATATGTTCATAATTTTTGAACTATATATTCATAATTATGAACAGTTTTGAAACAATGTCCACCTTGCAAGGTGGACAGGGTTCCACGGCATAATTTGCCCTCGAGGGATTGTTGGACCTGAAGGGCCAAAGTCCAGCACCTTGCCTCGGGGGATTGTTGGGCGGAGGCCTGAAGGGCCAAAGTCCAGCACCTGCCTCTCGAAAATGTGGCGATACAGTAAGGAAATAAAGTTGCGTCTTCGCTACGAGCTATAGCTTTTGGCGTAACAGTAAGCGCTTGATCCTAACACTTATACACCGAGCAATATACAAAAAACAGAAGCATTGTCATTCACGGCTTGATAAGGATTGTGCTATTCGTCTTATCAACGTGCTGGGAGAATTGTATATCGGGAACGCCTTCTCTGCAGATTCGTAATGCAGTCATTGATCTCCGAACTTTATTCCTGTGTTGTTGCAGGGACTATTATGTTCATCACAGTGCCCGCGTTGTACAGCAGATTCGAAGCTCATGTTGATCGATGCGCTGGAAAGCTACACCAGCAGTTTTCGCGGCACTACAGAATAGTGGATGAGAGCATCGGCAGATTACCTCGGAATGTAGCCAAGGACAAAGATCATTAAGGTTTTGTCCTATAAATCTCAGGTGCTAAACTTCATCACCTCTTAGCTCCATTTCTTCCCACATTTGACTAACGGCTTGAATCAAGTCTCGTTAACCCATGTATGTTTGAATCAATTCTCGTTAACTGAAGTAAGAGAGTTATACTTCTGTGTTCCTTTGTTAGATTACGTAAGAGTTTTTTGTCAGTTTTGGTCCCTCAACTATTATTCACTGTCCATATTGTTAAAGTATGTTTTTGTTACCACATCTGATTCCGCTAACCAAATCCCAGGCAACTACTGACTGACAAATGTAAATTTTTTTCTTTACTACAAGGGAAAAATCATTCATTCAAATCTAAATGCACAGCTATTTCTAAACAAAATATAATGATCTCGAAAAATCGAAAATAGGAAAGAACTAGGATATAACATAATTCAAATCATATTATTAAATTGCTCCAATCATTCCCACACACCAAATTGGGATTAAGTACACACTCTATTGGATATTGTTGACTTGGTTTAACCATTACAACCACCAATCAATTATGTTTTTAGTACATTGAGAATAAAAATTCGAAATCTCTTATACAAAGGTTCAGTCATATAAGGTATCTCTTAGGAATTAACTTATTTTTGTGAAAATTGAACCTTCCCATCTTATATAATTATATATTATATATATAGTAAAACCTCAAATTAAATATCATTTTTTAAAAAATTAAATACACACGCTTATATATATAATATATAGGCCTAAGCGGGTGGTAGCAGCCACCACGGCTATAGAGCCTCCTTGGGCCGTTTCACCCTTTAGTTGAGTCGAACGCACTGTAAAAATATAAAGTTTTAAAATTTTAAAATTAAAACTGAGCCCCTTCGTAAGTTTGACCGAATTGCCAGTCAGAAGGTGCAGCATTGAAGCTGGTGACGGTTCTTCCATCACCTGTGGTGACCTGAAATGAAAGACTTTGGCCATTCAGAACGGAGTTGCTTTGCCAATTTTGCCCCCAATTCCGTGACATTTGTTGCCACCCTGTCCTCGACCCCTTAATTGCAACTGCATGAACATCTCCGAACCCTCCAACGTTAGTCACCAACACTAGGTTGAAGAAGATGTGTCCGTTAATTGTAAACCTTATTCCTCCCTTCTTCCTGCAAGGCACCCTGTCAAAGATTCAAGACGTAATTCGTTAGCAATTACGCACTTACTACCAAACATCTTCGTCTCTAATGGAATCAAAGCAAGACCCGACTGAATTAGTCCCGTGCTTCTACACACAAATATATTAATCCCCTTTACCTTCGGTAATTTACGGGCACAATTCCAGCACGATAAACGCCAATTTGTAAGTAGGCAGGCTCGGCCATGTCGAAGTGTGGGCGGGGAGGGTTGCACCAGCCGCCGTTGTCATTGGGCAAGCCGGGGTTGGGCGGGCAAAAGTCGGTGGCGGTGATGGTGACGGAGCCAGGGAGGCAGTAGGGGCCGGTGCACATGAGCTCGTAGCATGAACCGCAAGCCAGGCCATTGTTGAAGAGGGCAGTGCTTAGTGCTGCAATGTTGGTGCCATAGCCTGTCCTATACAAGTTGCCATATCCGCAAGCTCCCCCTGCATTCCATTGCTCATTTTACAATTTACACCTTAAAAAACCACTCCAAATCCTAAATAACTATGGGGACATAAATGTAATTTGCTACATGTGACTTCAAAAACACTCAGTTTACTCATTTTCCCCTTTTTATATGGTTTGTAATCAACTAGTAATATGCCTCACTTTAGTTCTCACTAAGGACTAAAAATGACACATTTTGAATAGTTCAATATTAAATCTAGTTGATTTAAACTCAATGACAAGAAGTGAGAAAAAAAAAATCAAAATAGTCAATGGACCAAAATTGAAACTGAACCTATATTTTAGTTCTGAATAGTTGTCAGTTTTTGTCAATATCACTTTTTAACTAAAACAATAAATAAAAAGAAGATAAAATGTTACGTCCTAAATAACTATACGTGTCTCGAGAATAAAATAGCGAGAATCGAAGAATCAAAATTGATTGAAATGTAACCAGCTTAGTTGGCATGAGTGGCCATGCACTCTCATCTCTTAAAAGAGGTCGGGAGTTTGAACCCCTCGTATGGAAAAATCAATCTGGATAGCACTTTGTCCCTTAATTGGGCCGGCCCAGTGCGAATGTGGATGAGTCTAAATATGGTACGGGCTTAAAGGTGTCTCCTACAGTTAGGGTCTGAGGACAGACACCTCATGGCCTGACAAAAAAAAAAAAAAAAAAAAAAAAAAGTTGATTGAAATGTACCCATTGTGCCAGAAGCATCAGAACCACCATAGAAAGTAGCATGAGCAGTTTGCCATCCTCCATAGTCACCAAAAGCTAGATGAACACAAAAGCTTGAGAAGAAGAGTAGGAGAAAGGGGATTGAGAATGTTGATGGAACAGCCATTTAAGAAGAGAAAGAAATAAAGAGAGAAGATGAGTGATATGAATTTGTGGGGAGTGAGCTAGCTTGCTTGGTTCTAGGAAAAGGTGTGGGTGGCCTTATTTATACAAATACTTGTAAGGATAGATTTGGGAACTAGACATATGATATGTCCAAGTCCTATTAGAACAAACAATAAATTCTTCTTTAAATTTTTTTTTGTTATTATTATAGTTTTATTTTATTTTTTTTGGAAAATATTATACTATCTCGTGCTCTTTGTAAAATTGTACATTATACTTTGCAAGTTGTACTATTTGGATTCTTCGTAGTGAGACATAGACATTGATATATTGTACGCTCAAAATGAGTCTTTTACCGTCAAGATCAGTATAGAACGAGATTTATGGGATATATATGTGATTAATTTCAACTTGATACATTAGTATTAATTCAGATTTTTGTGATATAACACAACCATGAATTAAATTACTTTTGTTTGACGAGTTCATTCCTTTAAGCCGCGATTCCTGGCAAGAAATAGTGATTGCTTACATGGACTTGAAGGTCATAATAATTAACCTTGATGTGATGCATTTATTGATATAATACCGAAAGTAATGATTAAATTCAGGTATCTCAAATTCCTCTTCTTTATGTGTGGAATGAGATTAACGTGATATTATCCATCTATTTAAACTCAAAATGTGAGTATTAATTTAGATTTCCGGTATATAATACAATCATGATTTAAATTGCTTTTGTTTGATGAGTCAATTCATTTAGATCGCGATTCCGGGGAGAAATAGTGATTGGTTGTGTGGAATTGAAGGACGTAAAACAACGACCCGATTTGCACATGCACTTGTTATTTCCAACTTGAAGCACCAACCGCTAAGCTCAATCTCCCGACAAAAGCACATGCATTTTTAAGTTGTTTCTATCTCTCAATTTCCTCTTTTTGTTTATTATTATTTTTTGGATGACGAAGAAAATTTGTAGTCACTATTTAGTAATGAGTAAATACCAATTTTAGTCATATGAGTATGCAAAATGACAATTCTGATTCACGTGTTTAATTCTTACCAACTTTTCATTCACGATTATTGTTTTAGGGTGCCAAAATTCATCGTGGCAGTCACTTCTCCGTTTAAGACCTGCTGAAATCAATGGTTTAGTGGGCAGTATTTGGAGTAAGAGACCAAGGTTCGAACCTTGGCGGCGGTAGTGTGGGAATTATGTCTAAAGTAGGCAGATTCTTTGTGCGCACCGGCATTTGGCCCTGTCTACTAACCCATTGAGTCACCGTGATTTACATCCTCCCACATGCTCTGTCGGGTCGGAGTGTGGGGCCCTTAGGGTTGGGGATTCAGTCTTTTGGGGTAAGACATGCTGAAATCTAAAATATTAAAGGGTATTTTTGTCCTTTTCAATTTAAAATCCTAATTTGAGCATTAATAAATGAATTTAAAGCATAAGATCAATCACAATTTGCAGCTTTTTTTCCTCATCATACCTTAATTTGAGGAGGAGAATTGCACATTTAGATCGATCTTAGGGCTTAAATCTATTTATTCATGCTCAAATTGATATCTTAATTTGAAAATGATAAAAATATCATGAATAATTTTATATTGGCACAAGTGTCAAATAGGCCCATCTACTACTGCGAAGTGCTCAATTTCCACCACGAACTAAATTAAGTGTCAAATAGGTCCATCTACGAGTTAAATTTGTTCAATTGGCTTTTTTTACAGGTTAATAACAGGTTACCTATTTAATTATTAAAATAAATAAAATAAAATAAAATAAAATAAATAAAAAATAGAAAAGAATACAGCCACCGGTTGTCCGGCGAGGACAGCCGGTGGCTGTATTTTTTTTTTTTATAATAATTTTTAAATTATTTTGAAATTATTTTTTTAATAATTGAATTGGTAACCTGCAAAAAAAAAAAAGTCAATTACCTGCAAAAAAAGTTAATTGAACAAATTTAGTAGGTAAGTGTGGTTAATTAGCCTTTAATTTAGTTCATGGTGGAAATTGAGCACTTGACAATAGTACATGGGCCTATTTGACACTTCTCCCTTTTATATTTCAGCATGTCTTAAACGAAGGAGTGATGGGGCCCGATGAATTTTGGCACTAAAACATTAGTCATCGATGAAAATTGATGCTAAAACAATAGTTATTGATGAAAATTGGTATGAATTAAATATGTGGAACAAAATTGCCGTTTTATTAATACTCGTGGAACCAAAATGTATTTGCTCGGTAGTAATTAATACCTCCAACATCATTCAAGTTCCTCTTTAATATCTCCAACATCAATTCAATTACCTCTTTTTTTTCACTATCAGATAATGTGTATAGGATAAATTTCGCTCATCTGTAATAGCTCGCAAATCATACAAAAGAGAATTAGGAATATCATGTGTGTCGAGTTCGACCGAGAAGAGTTAACAAGAATCAAACTCATGACTATTAGATTCTACATACGTGTATCATATTTCACCCATTCGACTAGGGATGGCAATGTGCCCCGTCCCCGTTGGGGTCCCCGCCCCCGTAGGGGATGGGGACGGGGATGGGGAATTTCACAAACTCCCAGGCGGGGACGGGGATACCACTCCCCGCCCCGCCCCGTCCCCGAAAATAAAAAAAAAATTAAAATAAATAAATAAATAATATATATAGAATATTATTTTAGGATTAGGAAATAGAATATTTGAATGTGTATACATTGAATAATACGTCTACTGCACTACTGTGTATATAACAACAATAAGTAACAACAATAAGTCAATATAATTCATAATGTTTGAATGTTAAACTATTTTTAGTATATATTTGATCTTTCGGATTGGAATTTGAACTTTATTAGTTCGTATGTTATTAAAAAAAGTTGAATTTTAATTGTCATTTCATTTTTTTTCTTTTTATTTCTACTAGTTTCACACTTTGACTATGAGTTGACCGGGGATGGGGATTCCCCGTCCCCGCCAAATTTCCCGCGGGGACGGGGAATTTTTTTAAGTCCCCACCGGGGACGGGCAGTATACTCCCCACCCCCGCCCCGTTGCCATCCCTACATTCGTCTATTCCTTTTGAAGCAATTTCCTCTTTATTTTTTTATTACAAAAGAAGGGCATACCCATACAAACTATGCCTACAACAAGGCTCAAAACCTAGACCTCCCACATAGGGGAGCAATCCAATACCAATGGCCAACAAGCCACTTGGTAATTTCCTCTTTATTTATTCATACAGGTCACTATAGAATAAAAATTCAATTTTATATTTATAGAGTCGTGTTATATTTTTTTATTATTGGTTAAAATCATTCTTTAATATTTATCTAATGACTGATTATCAATATGCTTTATTTTCTTATTTTAATTTGATATTCAACCAAACATTCCGATCAAATTGTTAGACAAGATTCCAACCGGAGGTTAATATATTATGCACAAGGATATTTTTAACTTGATCTAAATAAAATTTAATCCAACTTAAATTAATTAAAATTTTGTAAAATAATCAATTGAGTTCATGAATTAAACAATCCCGGCCCATTTGTTGTTTCATTCTTTCAAAAGGTTGAACCCCAATCCTAAGGGCCCATTTGTTGTATCACGGAACACCAGCAGATGCTTGGTTGCACCGAATACTGGCAATTTATATCGTGCGCCCAGGCACAAAACGCACGCGTTTCAATTGCTGACGTCACTCTGTCCGTCCAAACCCCATTATGTATATTCAATTAAAAGTTTCTGTGTATTCTGTTATGAGTTTCTGTGTATTCAGTTAAGAGTGAGTTTCTGTGTATTCAGTTAAAAGTTTCTATGTATTCAGTTAAAAGTTTCTGTGTATTATGTATCATGTTAGATTATGTGTATTTAGTTATGAGTTTCTATATATTCTGTTATGAGTTTATGTGTATTCGAAACAGAGGATTTTTTTTTTGACAATGCACCAAAACGACGTCGTTTTGGGTAGAGCGAGACGCACAATGCATTGTGCGCTCTGGTGCACGATATAACGAGGGCCGAATATTATAAAAATAAATATGGACAATACGTACAACCCAAATGGCATATATTGTTATATCTTGTACAAAAAGTATGGATTTTATTCCGCACAGTAAAAAGTTTCAATTGTAACATATGAATGTTACATATATATTGTGTTATAGTAATTTCAATGTGGTTTGTATGTAAAATTTTGATGTCATTTTCAACTTTAAAAAAATCATGTAAGATATGAAGTAATTCAAATTACATTTTTTTATTTTTTTTTTAGGGATTGGATTAAAAATGAGATAAAATAGTACAAATATTTCAAATTTTAGTACTCGGTATTAAATTACCAACTTCAGAGAAACCACAACAATAATATCTAAATGTGGATTTTTTGTCAGATTTTATTGAGTTGGAGGGTATAGAAAAGTCATGCTCCATATTGTGAAAACTGTGGTCTAATAATATATGTCATTAAATTTAAACAATGCACGGCTATGATCAAATCTTCATAATCATCAAATAAGCATTGATTAAGGCATCGTTTAATAAGAAAAATTGCTTTGAAGGGCAATTTGGTCCGAACGATACCGTGAACACGCGATAAAATAGTGAAACTTCCCCACTACCCTTTTCGAACGCACTCAGACTCTCTAAACTTCCTAGTGTTCTACCTTACTAACTGACGACTCCAACTGCTCAAGCCACCATATCGACGTCCAAAAAAAAAAAAAAATTAAGTATAATAATATGTCAAAAAATAATAATAATAAAGAACAATTTTAGAGAACAAATTTACTCTGACTCAATATACATGTTATTTTTGTAATTTCCCTCTTAAAATTTCCCATCCAAACTGCACCCTACATCTGCAGTTTACCTCTTTTATGTAGCTTGCAGGTTATTATACATGAGAGAATTTTACTCAATATACATTCTCATGTAATATAATGACTGAGTAACTGAGTTTTTCTTGTCAACCAAAAACAAAAGTTTTTGATACATTAATATTGTGTATAAGGCTATAGTATCTTAACCAAATAATATTGTGTATGGGCTATAGTATCCTAACCAAATATTATACCTTACAATAATGTCCATATCATTAATTATGTACTTGTGAATTATGCACCGTCGATTAACCAATCATACTATATATCATTAAAAACAAACATAATTGAATTTAAGAAATCCTTATCAGTAAATAATTAATCATTCACTAATTTTGTCTTTATTTTGAATGGCATAAAAGTGCACTAGATTCCTATCTAAAGTATTGATATCAGAATCATGAAGTATAAATGAAATGGCGAAAAGTTAACAAGATATTTAAGTTTGAGCTTTGATCTGAGAATGCAACTACATACGTCATACCATAAAACTTACTAGGAAGTGTGTCTAACCCGAAAATACAACTATCATAAAATTGATAAGGGAGTATGTTTCGATATGTGGTTTCAGTTGACTTATTGAATATAATTAAACATTTTAATTGTTTCATTTAGAATATAAAAATATTTATAATAATAATTAAAAAAATGTTATGTTTTAAAATTAATTTATTAAAAAAAATTATGGTTTCCGACGAAAATCAGACCTGCGAAAACCAATGTCAGAGATAATTGTGAGGTCTGTGGAAAATGACTTCCGCCAAATTTTGACGGAAGTCATTTTCCTCCAAAATGGCCATATTTTTCAAAGTCAACGGAAAATGACTCGATTTTTCAGGCACATCCAAACACTAAAAATCTTTTAAAAAAAATTTAGAAATCATTTTTCGGATTTCCAAACACACCCGAAATTTACTTGTTATACATAGTGTCTTTAGATTGATTGTTACGGATAACGTACTTACGTTGTATCAAACTTGGTGGGTATAAACAGAGGCACTACAATATAAGGGGATAAACCAAGAAGGGATAAAAGACAAAGAAAAAGAAAAAGAACCAAAAAGGAATAATATAATATAAAAGAGTAAAAACACAATTCACATTAAATCATAGTATTATTAAATTGTCCAAATTTTTCTTGCACACCAAATTGGTATTAAATATACAAAATATATAACATACTCAATGTGGCCTTAGTTTAACTATATATGGCCGGCTCGCAACTAAACATATATATATATATATATATATATATATATATATATATATATATATATATGTAGTACATTAATGAAAAATGAAAATAGAACCTCAAATCTCTTGTTTGAAGATTCAGGAGTACAAGATTCTTGTTTTGATAACTAAATATATATCCTTCTAAACTATATATATAACACTAATCCTTAATATAAACGGAGTAGTTTTTTTTTTTCCAAGGAAGAAAAGAGCACTTATATTTACTATAGACTATAGGCTTAAGCGGGTGGTACCAGCCACCACGGCTATAGAGCCTCCCCCGACCGTCTCACCCTTTGAAATGTAAAGTTGTAAAAAACACTTTAAACTTCTTTTGTTTCTATTGGGTGAAACTTTTGGAATTAAAATTGAGCCCCTTCAAAAGTCTGGCCAAAATGCCAATTTGCAGGGGCGGCATTGTTGCTGATGACGGTCCTCCCGTCGCCCGTGGTGACTTGGAATGAGAGGCTTTGGCCATCCAGAACGGAGTTGCTTTGCCAATTTTGGCCCCAATTCCGTGACATTTGTTGCCACCCGGTTTTTGACCCCTTGATCGCAACAGCATGGACATCCCCAGAACCCCCAACGTTAGTCACCAACACCAAGTTAAAATAGGTGTGTCCGTTGATCGTGAATCTTATTCCTCCCTTCTTTCTACAAGGCACCCTGCCAAGATCAAATACACAAGTCATTAGCGAGGCTACACATTTATATTATATTTAGTATTAAATGTCAAGGGATTTGTAGTCCAATGACATAAATTTAAGATTCTCGAGGTCAATTCTTACCTTCGGTAAGATACAGGGACAATTCCAGCCCGGTAAATAGCGATTTGCAAGTAGGCAGGCTGGGCCATGTCGAAGTGCTGGCGGGGAGAGTTGCACCAGCCACCATTGTCGTTGGAGAGGCCGGGGTTGGGCGGGCAGAAGTCGGTGGCGGTGATGGTGATGCTGCCGGGGACGCAGTAGGGGCCGTTGCACATAAGCTCGTAGCAAGAGCCGCAGGCCAAGCCATTATTGAACAGAGCAGTGCTAAGAGCTGCAATGTTGGTGCCATAACCTGTGCTGTACAAGTTACCATATCCACAAGCCCCCCCTGCAACATTCAAACCCCACACTTTAGCACAAAATCCTAAATTTCCACCCACTTTTCCAACTACTCAAAAAGAAAAATATAGGACAATCTTAACCGAGTTAATTACTTAAACTGTTTGACTTGATAACCACAAGGTTAATTACAAGTTCGTTTCAGCCGGAGGTTTGAGCTGATCTAGACTGGTTTAACTACTTGTGACCATTTGACAGCTAAGGTCACAAGGTCAGATTTACGAAAGTACACACTTTCAAATAGTGACTGTAAATTTTTCCTGATTAGTCAAAAAAAAGAAAAGAAAAATTACCCATTGTGCCAGAAGCGTCACCGCCGCCATAGAAAGTGGCATGAGCAGACTGCCAGCCACCATAGTCACCAAAACTGAGATGGAAGCAGAAGCTTGAAAAGAAGAAGAAGAGAAGAGAGAATGCAGTTGCCATAGCCATTGAAGAAGAGAGAGAGAGAGAATGGGGGATTAGTGGTGACTGGTGAGTTGGGTCTATGGGAAGAGATGTGGGGCTCTATTTATATACAAAAAAATTGCAAGTAAAGATTTAGGGGGGGTCAATAGTAGTGTGAAAGTGACAATTTAGCACATATTTATGTCCTAGTTTAAACCATAAAAACAACAAAATAATCTTTATTTTTTTTGGAGAAATATGATTCATGTCGGGTAAGATACCTCAATTTTTTTTTCTATTTCTTTTGTTATCACACAATAATATAGTTTTGACATTATATGCCCTTCATTTTGATACTATATAGTACCTTTGGTGGTATGCCACTATCTTCTAAAATAATGTCCTAGAATACCAATTTAAAAATATATATATATATCAAACTAAAATGGAAAAAATGTGAATTTTAATTCCTCAATTATGCAACTCTAGTTGTTTTAGTTTATATTTTTCAAACATTGTAATATACACCTCTAATTTGAACCAAAAATAATTGTAACTTCATTTCTCGAGTAATGAAACTAGAAATTTATGTTATAATTTAACTCTTACTCCGTGTATGATGAGTATACGTTTTTGGTAAAATTCAAAATGGCCTATGGGCTGCTCCCATTAAGAGTCAAACTTGTAATTTTATGGTTACCAAATAAACAACCCAACCAACTTGGCTGGAGTTGTCTAAAATTCTAAATCATGATAACTCAGCTGAACATAGAGGCTAGACATTTAATTTGCTTACTGTGGCCACCAGTCTTGACCACAAATCTAGCCCGAACTGAGGACCTTGGAGCCTAAACCCACAAGGAGTCCTCTCACTTTGAGAGATTGTTCCCACACTGTCGCTTGTGGCTGGTGAGACTCGATCCCTGATCATTCTCTCAAACTTCACCCAACCCTGTGACTAACTGAGTTACCCATGCGGACATTTTCTTTACTAAAGGTCCTATTTTATGTGTGGAAGTCTATGTAATAGAACTCTTGTATGTATTTGTATTGTATCTAGGCGAGATCAACTCCGGTTTTTGTTCCTCCTCCGTTCATTCCGCCGTTAAAGCGTTGAAGGTCGCAAAGCAACAACTAACTAACCCCATTTCCCACATGGACTTTGGCTTCTTCTTCAACTATACCAACTGCTAATCTCTCTGGGCCCCACCCCGCACATGCCTGCATTTTTTTAAAACTGTTTCTATCCATTCTTTTTCGTATTTGTCGATATGGTATTACTTCAGTTTTTTGTCTTAGTGTTCTTTTGATCACCCTGAAATTACGCTCTTCGTCGGTATAGAGATGGGGAATGGAAAATTAAATGACATTATTACTTATTAGTACCTTTTAATTATTTGTGTTATGGATGCAGCCACTAATTAATTACTTAAGTATTAATTTAGATTGTGCGTCGCGAATTCAAGTTATTTATGTCATGATGGCACCTCGCAAGTGCACTGATTAGTAATGCATTGTTGGAAATTATGGAATTTCCGACCACCTGAAAGTGATCTTAAATGAAGTCGAAAGCAAAAAGTGGTCGAAAATAGCAACAAAGGTTTTTCCGGATACTAAAAGTGGTCGGAACAAAGCTTTCGACTTGATTTAAGATCACTTTCAGGTGGTCAAAAATTGCATAATTTCCAGCAGTGATGCTCCCTAGTTGATTGTTGTAGTTAATTATCCAAATAGCAATGGGATAGCATATTGAGATATAATCTAAGTTGTTTTTGCTAGCTACTATAGCACCTTGCGAGTTTGTTTGGATAACTATCGTTGGTTGATTGTTATGGTCAGCCAATCAGATGATGTGATAGTGTACTCAAACAGCTATGGCAGCTTATGGTAGTACTATTGCAAGCATAAGTACGTTGGGTGGTTTGGCTGTTGCGGGTAGGGCTGTTAACGAACTAAACATAAACGAACGAAGGTTGTTTGTGTTCGTTTGTTAAGGTTTTTGGAGTATTTGTGTTTGTGTTCGTTTGTTAAGGTTTTTAAAAATCTTGTTCGTGTTCGTTTGTTAAGCGTTCATTAGTGTTTGTTAACGTTCATAAACACGTTCACGAGCTTACAACTGTTCATCTTCTGTTCGTTTATAAACCGAGCTCTAAATTTTGTTTGTTAATGTTCATTTACCTTAATAAACGAATATAAACGAATGCTTACCGAACACGAACATGAACACGAGTAGTTTACCGAACGCTCTGTTCGCTAATACCGCTAGTTGCAGGCTTAATTGAGATGATTTATATATTTTTCAACCAATCTTGCTCGAGTTAGACTTTAGAAAGCTAACCCTTCAACCTAAGAAACTAAGCCTATTATATTATTCAAATTACATTATTGAACTAGTTGAGTTGCCTTATGTATAACCCCATTAGTGTTAATTTGTAAATAACTTGTCCTTGTAATTGAACACCCTTGATAAATCTAGTACTACATGACAACCAAGAACTAGTCTTGCATTGTTCCACTTTCACTCTACAATTTTAACTTGTTACATATTTAAGGGCATCTTAGACGACATTATATATTGACTAAAAGTGTAAATTAAAGCCTCGAATAGGGTGACTCAGTGGATAGGAGATGTTTTTCATACTCAAAGATCACGATTTTAATTCTTATTAATACTCACCTACTCAAGCCAAGATTTTCCTCTCAAAGATCAACAATAACTTCATATTATATTAGTTGTGAAAATTAATATTTTATAGAATTGAATTAATTATATTTCATTTTGTCCTAAATTTATGTGACAATCCATTTTAGTCCTTTTTTAGAACATCTCCTTTAATCCTAGTATTATTGTGCGCTTGTGGCATAACCATTATTGTGCGCTTGTGGCATAACCTATAAGTGAAATTAAATTTAAGATCAAAAATTAAATTAATTCTATAAAATTTTATAATGTATTTGGTGAAATTGTAAGGTTAACTTCACTAGATGTGTACAAAAGTATAATTTCACCCGACATTAGAATAGGAAAATTCTTGAATTTGTCAAAGTCGACATTGAAAAGTTTTATGGCGGTATCTTTTGAAGAAGTTCGTTGTAGTATGTACGCACATAGTCAAGCATACATTTGACTATAAACAATGTTTCTAAGGATAAAATGTATACAGTCAACACTAGTTTAAGAAAATCTATGCACGTTATTACTCATGTAAATCTTTTTTGTGTTTCCTTTTTTGACTTCTTTACTTGTGGTTTGCATGAGGTTGGTGAGATGGAGATATTCTTAATTAATGCCCTTCGACTAAAAAAAAAAATTAAATTAAATTAAATAGTAATAGTACAATGGTGTAAATTTTTACGTGGTATTTGGTTTAAGATATACAACATAATTAAGAAACTATGATCTTTGAAATAATGTTACATTCTCATGTTTGATTTAGGTTATATTACTCTTCCTCGATAATATAACATTTGTCAAAAAAATGTAACATACCCTCTAAATTAGATTTTAAAGGAAATGTGATATCCTCACAAATCTTAGGTTTTACAAGATTCCCAATCATATGTATTTTTGTTGCTCTAATTCTAATTATTAGGATACTGGGATAATGCCCAATATTATTATTTTTTTAAATAAGTACTTTAAAGTATATCAAGGCAAAATTATATTGGAATTGTTCATGCATAGATAATTGAATGTTAAATTTGCGTATTTAAATAGACAATTCTAAGTTTACAAATGCAAGATAATATAGTCAAGATTGATTATAGTTGTCAATAATATAATTGTATAGGTATGGTTGAAACCAAATACGGGACATAAGGGAGAGCAAATAAAAATTAGGGCATAAAATATTAAATATATACTAATATTGAAGAGCTAACGACTGATTGCCAAACAAGGACTTTGAGAGATAGTTTCACACTTCAATTTGTTGTGTGGTTTGAATACTCTTTTTGTCAATAAATCCCCAAGTAGTTAATATGATTGGCTTAATTATATTTTGTTATTTTGTTATTTTTTAAAACAATTATTATTATTATTATTATTATTAAATATATGTATACCCTTAGGTCATTTTACATGTTAATCTAAACAGCTTTTTTCAAATATCTTTTTACCAACCGTTGATATAATTCGCTGGTCAAATTCGCTAATATAATCCGCTAACGCTAATCGCTAACTGCTGATTGTCAAACAAGGGCATTGCGAGATAGTTCTTGCTTCAATTTGTTGTGTGATTTGAATACTCTCTTTGTCAACAAATCCCCAAAGTAGTAAATATAATTGGCTTTATTAATTATATATTTTTTTTTCATGGTATTAATAAAATACTTGGTAAATAAACATATAGCATTATTTTGTATTATAACTTTAATATTTAATTAAAAAATAGTGCACAAAAAAGATAATAGACAATGTAGTGAATATAATCAATTGATGAATTTGAATGTAAAGAATTTTTATATTGGAGAAATATAAAGACAATATAACTAATAAAATTATTTCTCTTAATTAGTTTATTGATAATGAATAATTTTTGTTAATAAAGACATTGTAGGGACAATGTAGCGAATATAATTAATTGATGAATTTGAATGTAGAGAATTTTTATATTGGAGAAAAATAAATACAATATAACTAATGAAATTATTTCTCTTATTTGATTTATTGATAATGAATATTTTTTTTTTTAAATAAAGTCATTGTAGACACATAACTAAATTAAAGAAATGCATATGTATTATTTTTTGTTGCATCTACTAAATTATTATTTAATTTAATAAGAGTAAAATAGAGTACTAATTATGCCAACTTTGATTGGGATGTGGTTCGAACCTAAGACCTTTCTTATTGAAATCAATGAGTAAGTTAACGGTGAACTAACCAAAATTAACGGAAAAAAATAATATTTAACGGAAAAGTTAACGAAAAATCATATTCATTAAGGATAAATTAGTAAATCTTAAGGAAAAATTAAAATCTGATCAATCTGAGCCATTCATTTGATTAAAAAATTTGACCGCCATTTTTTCTACCCATTATAGGCCTAACTCTCTTGGGCTCTTATTAGTATAGTAGATATATGTATATA